TTTTTTATTTTTATATAATATAAAGAATTTTATTAAATCATCTTACAACTAATTATAAACTCATAATTTTATACCCTTGAATAAATAATTTTTTGTAATATGTATGACTAAAATTTAAAACTCTTCAAAATCATTTGTAAACATTTTTTTGATCTCGATAGTTTATGTTTTATTTTTATAATAATAATACACATGATCTCATTGCATATTCATCTTGATTTGTCTTTTTTATTTACCATAAAATTAAATAACGAGTGATAGTCTTTTGTTAAAAGTTTAATTTTTATTTCAAACACTTAAAAATGACTTAAAAATGAAAAATAGAAGAATAGGGTAGACATATTCATTGTTTTTATTTTCTACGAAATTCAAACTTTTTTGATAAAATTTCAACTTCTTACTTCCTTAAACAAAAAATGAAAATGAAAAAAAATAAAAAATACTAAATAAATATAGTTTTTGTAATTTTCATACTTCCTATGTGATTGTTTTGTTTTTTTGGTAAATAAATAATTTTTTTATGGTAATTAAATTATTTTTATTTATTATATATGTTATTGATTGTATACACAAGTGCTTCCCTCCACATCTATATCCGAACCAAATTCCCTCCTTGGTTTCTTCCCTCGTTTTCCACTTTCTCTCTCTTCCCGCTTTTTTAATCCTTTCTCTCTTCTTCTCCATCTCCTTCCCAAATCCAAATCCAGATCTCACCCTCCGATTCAATTCCTCCCTTTTCAATTTCTTCAATTGCTCAGATTCTCAAATTCCCAATTCCTCTCTCTCCCAAATCCCCCCAAAAAAGAGGGCTTGATCGATCTCTCTGTCCTTCAACAGATTGTTAGTTTCTGAGTTCACTCAATTTCGATGTCGACTTCGCAAGCTAATCATCCGACGGAGCAGATCGTGCCACAACAGCAACATCAACTGCCTTTGAAGCGCCAACTGCCATTCTCCTCCATGAAGCCGCCATTTGGGGACTACCACCGGTTTTCCTCACCGGCCCTCGACCTTAGGTTGAAGGAACCCGAGGCTATTGTGGTAAAATCTCCGGTGAGTTTGTTGTATATATATATATATGCATGAGACTGTGTTTCGGTTCTGATTTTGAAGTGGGTTTGTGTAATTGATGAATTTTATTGCTTGGTTTTGTCATTAGAGTTAGTATTTTGTGGATTCGTTACTGGGTTTGATGTAATAATTGTTTTGTTGATGCTTCATTGTTGGAACCTTGATTTATGTATATATGCATGACACTGTGTTTGAGTTCTGATTTTGAAGTGGGTTTGTGGAATTGAAGAATTTGCTTGCTTGCTTGGTTTTCTCATTAGAGTTAGTATTTTTCGGATTCCTTACTGGGTCTGATGTAATAATCGTTTTGTTGATGCTTCATTGTTGATTTATGTGATCTAAATGCTGTTCCAACTTATATTTATGACTCATTTCTTAGGATTCACAATTTTTTCTTTATAAAGACTGTTCCTTTATTTGCTGATAAGGTCCTCAGTATTGTTCAGTCCTTATGGGTTTGCTAGAAAGACAAATATGCCATTGGAAGATATATTTGTGCCACTCTGAAGTTTTCTGCAGGTCGCTTTAAGCTATTGAATACTACTACCAACTGAAAGATAACAATTATTTTAAGGAAATTATGAAATATCACTAAGATTATCTTAAAATTCACAGCTGGTTTTAACGGATTTTGGAAACTATGTAAGTTGTGTTAAGGCGAAAGTCAGCCTTGTCAGACATCGTGTTGAGCAACGAAAAAATAACATATTTGCAGAATGAGTATAGTTGAGATGAGAATGTTTAGATAGATGTGTGGTAAGACAATGAAAGATAGATATAGAAATGTCCATAGTATGAGTTCCCATGTTTAATAGAGGTGTGCTGCCAGTTAGTTTCATTTAAAAATTTTAATATTTGATTGAGTTACATGGTGTTTTGGAGTGCCCTTTCTTTGTCGGCTTTGGTCCTAGTTCTTACTGGTGGCTTGTGGTTTTTATTCTGTTAGGACAAAAGCTTAGTTATGTTAGTGGGATTTCCTGGTTCTACATTGTTATGCTGATTTTATAGTTAGGGCTTCACATATCCAGCATGAAACCTAGGCTTTTGGGGCTGGTTTTAATTGAGTTTTCTAACTGAAACAATAGTAAGAAACCTAGGCTTTTATGTGTTTCATAGTCAAGCCTCGTTAATATTATGTCTTATTAAAATTATGATGATTGTGCTGTTTATGTTTTCAAAGCCAATCAATATTTATGAACATTGTGATAATATTATCCTTGGATCAAATGTCAATTGATTTTTCCATATAATTGTATTGTTAAATTTGCAAACATATTGCTGATATTAAATTGTAAAAACTAAACGAGTGTCTTTTAGCCATTAAAGAGGAAGAGTGAAACAGCAGATTTAGTAGCCGAGTCCAGTGATTGGAACCCTAGTACTGGATATGTGGAAGCTGTTGGCAGCCCTCTTCAAACACCTGTATCAGGGAAAGGGGGAAAGGCACAAAAGGCGCCAAGGATGGCAAAGTCCAATAGATCTGGATCTCAAACTCCTGTGTCAAATGTTGGTGAGTATTACCATCTGAACTTTTATTTTGAGCCTCAATCCCTATAATTTTGCAAAATATCTATGTGAAGGATTATTAATCGTCACAAAATATTTTTTTTGCAATTGATATTTTCATAATTTGCTATGTCTCTTGTTTATAACTTTTCATTGAACTACATTTTTGTATTTTCAGGTTCTCCTTCGGGCAATAATCTTACTCCAATTGGTCCTTGTCGTTATGATAGCTCCCTCGGTAATTTTTGCTTAAGCCTTTATTTCTTGATTTTTGATTTTCATATTTTTCTTTTAATTGTAATTTAAAATTTTCTTTTTGGTTGTAAGTGTAGCTTGATTTTTTTTTTTTTTTTTGACTCTATTTCATATTCCTCGTCAAGTAGTGCAAGAACATGCTGTAAAGTGACTAGTGACAATGTATTGTAATTTTTATTTAGGTCTACTAACAAAAAAGTTCATCAATCTGATCAAACATGCTGAAGATGGTATTCTTGATCTAAATAAAGCTGCTGAAACATTAGAGGTAACTATACTATTCACCAATCTGTGCATCATTTGTTGTGATGTTTTATTCAATTGAAGGGTTTCTGTTGTGACAGGTACAAAAGAGGCGTATATATGATATAACAAATGTCCTTGAAGGAATTGGTCTCATCGAAAAGAAGCTCAAGAATAGAATTCAATGGAAGTACGGTTGTATCCCTAAATTTTCATGAACTCGAGTTGTTTTATATTTCATTCTTTCATAATTTTATTAATTCCATAGTTGTCAAATCGGGATTCGTATCGTGAATCGAAATGGTCTTGTACCGAATCACGAAACGAATTGAATCGAATCATGAATCGTAAAGATTCGGTCACTTTTTCTAAATTACTTAAAAACATATATCTACACATTTAGATGTTAAATATATCTTATGAATATAAAATATTTAGACTTAAATCAATGAAAATGTTATTTTGAATAATAATCACTTAGTTTAATAGGTAATAAGTTAACAAAGGTTCTTATGTAAGATCACCATATTACCTTTTTTCTTTTTTAGATATTTCTTATCAACCATTCTTAATAAAGATGTAATATCACCATCTTGCCTATTTTTTTTTTTAGATATTTCTTATCAGCCATTCTTAATAAAGATATTAACTAAATTGACAAACTATCAATTTCCAAAGTAACAGTAATTAACAACAATGTTGATATTTGGACAATAAAAAAAGAGAGAGATGGGGAAAACCTTTTTTTTCTAAAAAAAAAAGGGGCCGTTTGGGGGGGGTTTGGGGGGGGGGGCCCCAAATGGGGGGGTGGGAAAAGGCTTTTTTTTTTTAATTGCCTTTAAATCAGGTTTTTCCCAACTTCTGAAACATAAGCAATGAATAATTTTCCAGCCAAGAAATTTAGGACTTCAGAAACAAAAATACGCCAAAACAATCAAAAAACACTAAATAAATCAACAAATTAATAAGAATTAAATGGGAGCAGGAAAACAATTGACGCTTGGAGCACGGTAAAGGCTTTGAATGGTCATCTCAGTGGGACCAAATAGCCACTAGAAAAGAGGAATAAAGACGAGAGAATTTGTGTTAATAACACTGAAAAACCGCTAGTGTCAGGGAAGTCCCTTCCCTATCATTAACTAAGTATTTACAGGCTAATATTTCCATGAAAGGTGAGGCAGAAAGAAGATATTACTCTTTGATTATTCTCTCATTTTCCACTCAGCTCCCTCAACCTTTTCCTGCATTTCTCTAGCAAGAAATCAAAGTAATTAGAAGCATCGCATAATCCAGGTTGCCAAAAAGAAGATGGATACTGATTGTCTTGCCAAGCAGGCATCAATTATGTGACCTTATTTGTTCAATTCTACATTCTGGCGCTCTCAAGGGAAAGGTTTTCAACTTCTGCCTGCAGGGAAAAAAACCATCCATGAGGACAGAACCCAAAGCACCTCCAAAGAAAAAGAACGTGATATATTTTTTTTTTGCCTTTTGACTTGGCTATGTTTCTAGAACATATCGTGTCCGGTGCGTGAACAGTGATAGAGTGGTACGTTCACATGGTACAAACACGGATAAACTTATATTCGTTACGCTATTTTACATAACAAACTCGCATTTCATACTTTTCTGTTTAACACTGGATCCTGGGTAACCTGGACTGTGATGATGCACATTTGCTTAACAGAATATGATGCCTCCATAACAACTAAATGGAACAGCCCCAACTAGAGGTCATTTTGGGGTCGTTACTAAAAACTCTCTACCTTAATTCATTTTTGGACTATGTTCATCTATATAATATTTTTAATAAAATTATCATTTCCTGGACTATATTCATATATGTTGAAACTAAAGTTTATAAGCGGCTGGCATGTTATCAGCAAACTGCTTCACCTGATTAGAACTAGTGATGAACACCTAACAATACCAAAAAAAGTAGAATACAGACATGGGTAACAATTAATATACACTTCTCAATTATGTTTAAACACATAAAATAAGCCATAATCACATTCATAAAGATAAATTTTCTTTTTGATTTTCAGTATCTCCTGTGTCCTCTCATGTAATGGAAGACGAGTCTCAACAAAATACACTGTTTACTAATCCTCTTATAATTTTTACTTAGAATAATATTTGTTTCAGTATATTAGAGTGCGTGTTTGATTGGTGTTGCCATGCACACTATGCATTATGATTCACACTTAATAAAAAGATGGTGGTACACATAAGGACATGTCTAGGGATGTTTTATGAGTGAAAAAATGATTGTTTTATCTGACACGGATGAGAGAGAGCGAGAGAGAAGAGAGAGAGAGTGGAAACAAGTAAACACATGCATTGCACATTTTCAAAAGTTATTCATCAACTATCTCTAAGCACTAAAGTTCCTGGAATGCCAAAAGCTTATATTTTACAGTTTCCACATACCTGTATGGTTACACGCTTCTCATCAGTCCTCCCCCTGGCCTTGAACAAGTCAACTCCCCTGATTAATCAATTATCTAGTATTAGCTTTCTTGTTGTGGTTGAGGATGAATTACGTAGATATAATCTCTGTATAGAATCCTACGATTCGGCTTGATTCTGCATTTTGCAAATCGATACGACAATCTTAAATAGGTGAATTTATTTTGGTGAAATCTCTAGTGAATCGCACATTCCACAGCTCGATTCACGATTCGATTCACTTTTTACCGATTTATGCAATTTTTTAAAATTATTGTGGTCGATTTTCGACTCTTTTTTTCTCCATCTTTTTAGTGAAATGCATAATACAACTTTTAATAGCGTTTAAACCAAAATAACGAAACATCTAATACATGATTTATTGTTATTTTAGTGATCATGGAGTTTTTAACAGAAATCCAATTAGATTCAATCAGACCCACATATTTTTAACCTTATCTTTCATTTTTTTTTTGCCTTTAAAAAATCCTCCATATATCTTCTAAAAATGTTTAAGATTAAAGTTATACTATGAAGTTTTTATCTATTTTATATAAATTGAATATTACATGGTGAAGTCAGTTATACTTTTTAAAACGTTTTAAGGCTTTTAATAAAGATTCTAAATATTCCTCTCTTGTTATTTGCTCACTGTTACTTAGAAAGTATATATGC